ATATCAGTAATTTATGGAGCATCCTATAAATGTGTATGTTGTTTTAACATGCCAGTACATCAGAATTCAAAAGCCACACTGAGCAAAAATTCGACTAGATGGCCTATAAATGACAGTGATTTTTGATTCTCAGTGACCCAACAGTTCATTCAAAGCCTAATTTGTTTGTTTTTATATTGGTGCATTTGAACTTTATAGAATCTAACTTAACATTGATCTTAATTTAGTGTATCTTGATGTGAAAAGTTGATACCACTTAAGAAGATCCTGAGTTAAAATTTTTCTTTCCATCTTAGAGACCAGGATATAGTGCATTACATAACATAAAACAATACTAATAAAACTTAACTTAAAACTTTAGAATGTATTCTAAAAAGGATATTCTTTTTTCTGATAGAAATAGCTCAGCTGACTAACTATGACAGTGGAGCAGCAGCCACTCCAGAAACAGATCAACCGGTCAGTGTAAGTCTCTTGTTCTTTTGTACTTTTACTATTAAATAAATAGTTTCTGCTTTGGCTGAATTTACCCAAAATGCAAATGATATTTTTAAGTTATGGGAACAATCATAACAAATTAGCTCACCCTTAATGATAAGCAACGTATGTCATTGCTAAGTAAAAAAACAAGCTGTATTTTAGCTTAGTGTTATTTGGGAAATAGCTGTTTTTTATATTCAGCTGTCATACAAAAGTAAATAAGGCAAGAATATGGATCTGAATCAGCACCTGTGTGTTCCTTCAACAACTGAAAAATTCTTGTCCTTTCCATTCACTTCAAAGTACAGACATAAATACTCTTTACGCTGTAAGACAAAAAAAAAATAAGTTTAGAGAAAACATTAAGTATTAGATGTTAATGATACTGTATTTCTCAGCTAAGACTGATTGCAATTACTTTGTTTTGGTTACTCTTAATGATGTTAAATGCTTTGTAAGTAATATCTAAACACAGTATGCAAATAATCATTGATAAAATAATGGTTTGTAATATATTGCTGGGCATTACCGAAAAGACAGTATTTATTTGATGAATGGCACTACATCTGAAGATCTGCTAACTATAATAGATTAAATGTACAGAGGACCTGTGGTGGTGCTTTTGATGAGAAGGGAAAAAGATACTCCACAATACATGAGGTTTCACATAGACCTGCCAATAGTCAGAGAAGCAAATTGATTTTTTTAAAAAATTCCAAGATCATTGCTTCATCAATTACAGCATAGTTTCAACAAAAGGTACCATTTGATTTAAGGAGTTGCCAGCAAGTGTCCATGCACACCTATGCATGCTTTGAAGTTTATCTGAAACTCTGCACAACCCTAGTGTTACTGTCTGTGTAACTAATTTTCCTCTATTTATTTTGAAGAATTCTAATGCATCACTTAAACTTAAGAGGAAGCCTCGTGAAAATGATTTTGAAACAATTAAGCTGATTAGCAATGGAGCATATGGGTGAGTAAAAATAAATACAATTCTCTGGGTTTTGTCACAATTTTGTGTACCTTGGCATATTTTTCTTAGCACACACAAAAATTGTATTTCTTTTGGAAGAATGCTAAAAATATTGCTGTGGAAAAATGTCAGAAGAAATGTACTGAAACCTACATGCTGTTTCAAATGAAATGCGTTTGTCATTTCTTTCTCATGAAAATAGATGACTCCAGGGAGAGGGAGAGGGAAAGAGGGAAAAGGTGGCCACTGTGGCTTTATAGCATTCTTCAGTGATCCTGAAGAGAAAATCCCAGGTTGACAGAATAAAGTAATTGAGAGGTGAGCTAGTGGCTGTGTGAAGCACTGAATAGTATGTGGCTGACGTAGTCATAAATCTGAAGCGGGGGTACTCTGCTTCATACTTCAGCTGTCATGGAAGTGTAGGGGAAATGAGAAAGCAGCTTGGTGGAATAGAGGATGGAAAAGAGGAATTTGCTGGTAGAGCTCAGAACTCAGAGAGTAGGAATTGGGAGAAATGAAGAGAGACATTGTTTTAAGGGATTGGTTGAGAATGAAAACATTTCTGGAATAGGGATTGACAGCCAAAATATCTATTTGATTGTGGTGGCAAAGAAATATGTTTTATGTCTCAGTAAGTAAAAATAAGTACATCCTGAGAGCTTCTGATTAAGCTACATTCTTCCCATGCTTTTCCATCAGGTGCATAGAAGCATTACAAAAATAACAACCAATGTTAGCACCTATACTACATTTGTCAGGCACCAAGAACTAAGAAAGATGTGAACTTACTTCTGAGTAATTGTCTTTATTGTTGTTCACCTATAAATAGAAATCTTGTCAAACTAAAGCAACTATTTACACCACTGAGATACACTCTGGGAATTGCTAGGGAGGAGTCTTCTTAACTCTGTTTCTTCTGACCAAAACCTTCCATGCTTTGCTGCCTCTTTGCTATTTGTAGCCCCTTTCTCCTGGGAATCCAAACTACCCTTCACCACAGATTTGCAGAATGACACTCTTCTATAACTTCCAGCAGATGTCAAAATTGTGACCCCCTAAGAAACACTTTGATTATGACATTTACATTTCTGCTTTATAGCTTTCAATGTTGCCAGCAACTGCAATGCTTTGCTCAGTCACATAGAAACACAGTCTGATACTACTCTGGTGATTATATCCTCCCCTGTAACATTGATTTGGCACTTTCTGTTCCTTCAGCTTGACAAACTGATTCTTTCCCCCTTGCTTTGACCTTGTTTTTGCTTTAACAAGATTTGATTAACTTTGGTTTATAAGCTCTGCTACAGAACTCTACGTTCCAAGGACAGAGTGTGAAAATATATGGACAGGATTCTGTGGGTGTGACTTGCAGTGTTTTTGTCATGTATGTTACTTGTATGAAAACAACCTGGCATTATCTTTACTGCAAACAAACTGTTTTTAGCACCATTGATGAAAAAGTTAACTGGTGGAAATAAGTAAATGGCCATTGTCCCTCCTGTGACAAAGAAGGAGGATTTATCAGAGCAAATAAAAGAGACTTTAAGAATTGACACAGCAAGTGACTCTTTGTAAGGAAGGGAGTCAAAGGGACAAGCAGTCAAAGAGTTGCAATTAGAAACAAGCTACATAGAAACTATTTTGCACTGCTGGAACTCAGAAACAGCTATCAAGACTTCACAGAAGAATCAAGCTGGGCATTTTCAGAGGAAAAAATGAAGACAGCAGAACAGAAGAAAGGATGTTGGATCCCAGAAGGAGATGCAGCTGTATCCTGATAGAAGATGAAATGGTCACGGTGGTAAATAACACTACAAGGAATGAAAATAAATGTTTGTCGGCTTGACAATTGGCTTATAAAGTGTCCTGCCTGCCCAAAGCAAGGATTAGTGACTGAATAAACTTTGAGTAATACTAAATACATAATTATAAGTTATCTCTTCTAATCCACATGGGGAAGTAATACTGTAGAGGACTGTGAATGTTTTTGAAGGAAGCAGAAAACTCTGGGGACATAGGTGGTGGTGTCATCCATCCTCCTATTCCTTAGAAGAGGAATGTCTTAAATGATGTCACCTCAGTCTGCTTTAGTCAGAACCCATTTAGAATACTGTATCCAGTTTTGGGCACCACCATCAGACTTGGACATTGAAAAACTAAAATGGGTTCAGAGATAGGCTACCAAAATGCTGAAGAGATATATACAGTGAAAGATAGCCCTCAATTTACAACTCCCACTTGGAACCAGAACTTCCATCACTAAGCAATGCGATCATTAAGTGAGTCACCATGTGACCATGCCCAATTTATGACCTTTTTGCTATAGTCATTAGTGAATCACATGGTCATGAAGTGAATCCAGCTTCTCCCTTGAGTTTCCTTGATGGAAGCCTGCTGGGAAGGTGACAAATGGTGATCACCTGACCCTGGGACATTGCTACCTCATACACGTATGCTTCGATTTCAGTGATTATATGAGACAAGATACAATTTGAAATCTTGATGTACTAATTCAATTATAATTTGATTGATATAATGGAGATCAATGGGACTTAATACCTTGAATAAAGTATAGGATACAATTTGTTCAAAAACACTTGTTCAAAGACCACTTAGTATTGTATATTAAAATGTATTCATTTGCTCAGAAATCCAAATGAATGAACCTGGTAATACTATATATAACATCTAAGTTAAAGTAGATGGAAAAACAAATAAAATCAGTATAATAGCTTTTATTGCATGGCCAATCTAAGAAGAAGAAACAATGATTTCCAAAAGTAGACTGGAGTTTTTTTTCAGACAGACATGAAGTAGTAATCATGAAGAACTTACATTTCCCCCACATCTTTGGGGAGAGAAACTCTGCCAATCATCATTGTTTAAGGAATGTCTATCTTGTCTTACAGAGGATGGGGAAAGGCACAACACATTAGATATTCCTGACAGAATATAACTGATAGAGAAAAGTTAATTTTGAAAGGTGAAGTAGCATTAAAATTAGATGGAAGTGACAATGTAAACGCTGGATTGAGAATACTCAAATGTGCATTTTGTAGCTCAGAAACATGGATTTTAATAAACTCAGAGCAATGATAAATATGGTTGCCTGATAAGAAAGCCCTAATAGAAGAACGGATTTGAAATGTATGATTGTTTTCTTTCAGGAGAGAAAAAGATATTGAGTAGCGTAAGATGTAATCCTTGACCCTTTATTTGTCTTTTTTTTAAAATTAATGGTTTAGATTAATATTGGAGAATTTTTTTATCAGACTTGCAGAAGACACAAACTGGGATGGGATAGCTAATATCCTGGAAGAATGAAACACAAATCAAAAGTTAAGAGTACAATGCAGAATGATTCATTTTGAAAACAAAAAGCACATTTACAAGTATGGGATAAAGATACTTGTGAAAAAGTTGGAATAATATTTGATTACTACTTCCTAGAGTAACGTTATATAACAGTGGTCTCCAGCCTTTCTGGCTTGGCGGCCTGGGGTGGGGGGGGAATGGTTCCATGTGAGCAGCAGGCATGTGCATGAGCGTGCACAGGTCCATTTGAGTAAGCAACTGGCACATGCGCTTACCACTTTCATAAATACCATAAATGGAGTTTTGAGCATGCTTGCTGCTCACACAAATGGAGCTGCATGCAGGATTTGGTGTTTTTTCTCTCCTCTTCCTTCTCCTATGCTGACAGCTAAGAGACTTAAGCAAGAAATTGAAAAAAAAATCCACTTTGACATCAATAGGCATTTAATGCTGAAAATAAAATGTCAAAGGGATAATAAAGCTTTCTGGATACTTAAAAGCTTTTGAAAGCAGGAAAGGAGAGAAAAAGAATAAAAGGGCAGGATCTGGAAGGGAGGAGACTGCCTGGAATTAAAAAGAACTTACAGTAAAATCTCAACAAGACTTCCAAAAGATACATTTTAACTGAAACATGGCAACAAAATAGTAAAACCGTAGGAAGAGAAAGTGAAAAAAGAAGTAAGAAGAAACAGCTCGGGAGTATTTGGATTACTTGGTGACTTCTGGATTTTTGGTTACTGCATTTGAATGGCTAAATCAATCGGGCGGTTGTTTAGAAGTGTTTAAAATGGCACCACTTTTAGAAGAACTGAAAACGGAACTTAAAAAGTACAAAGAAGATGCACAAGAAGGAAGAGGTTCTTTTGGCTTCGTATTTCAATTTTTAGAAATAGAGATCTGGAACTATGAAAAACAACAAGAAACACTTGTAGAACAAGAAGGTTGGGACAAAGAAGAAGCCATCTTTAATGATCAAGTAATTTCATGTGGGGGAAACAAAGGAAAGGGGGGAAAGACAGTGGAAAGTTTAAGATTTGAAAAAAACAACCAAAAAAAATAGTTTGAAAAATAATTATAATATTAGGAAGCAACAGAAGAGAGGATTACAGAAGAGAGAATTAGAAGTAGAGACACAAGGGGGCAAAAAGGGGAGGAAGAAGAAGAGAGGGAAGAAAGAACGGAAAAGAAGTTATAAAGGACAGAAACAAGATATAGAGAAACAGGGCCTATTTAGAGATAATGGGTGAAGATCTATTTGAAAAAGGGATTCTGCAAAGGTACATAAGATAGTATTGTTAAATTAGAAATAGAAATAATTTCAGAAAATATGAAACAATGTATGATCAAAATTATGGATAAAATAGCTATTGTAATTTAGTGGAATGTTTGTTAATAAATAAATGTAATAAAATGAATATTTAATGATTTATAAAACATAAGTGAAGAGAAATAGGGGAAAAATTAATTATGGAAAAATTATACGTGTCCCCAAGGAAGTATGATATTTAATTGAAAAGAAATGTTAAAGATGTTAAGACTTTAATGAATATTAATGATAGAACTGAATTGGAATGGAATGAGGGTTTTAATTACATATATTTATAATCCTTTTTTTAAAGAATATAGTGTGTATTTTAAGAATGTACCAAGCAGAATTCAATTGGAAGTTTGTATTATGTATTATATTGAATGTTATAACCTTAAGGTATACATTGAAGTTTAAATAAGAGTTGAATGGATGTAATTAAAAGATATAAAGGTGTCATACTCCAATTAGTAACTACAGGAGAAAATTTGTTTAATGAGAAAAGATAATATGAAATTGAAACAGGACAGACAAAAGTATAAATATAATGATTTGAATTGAGATGAGATAATCAAAATAAAGTTGATAAAATTAAAAGAGGGGAAAAAGTATATAGAAAATGCAAAATAGTAATAAGATATGGAATAGAACACAAAAATGAGCATGAAATTGAGTTTGTGTCTGTATAAAGAAGTGTAACCGGGACCATGCTATTTTCAAAAAAGATGTTTTATTTGTATTTTGTGTGTGTGAAAACCCAAATAAAACTTTATTAAAAAAATATATCTGTGTATCATTACAATTGTAATATTGTGCCATATCTTTTTTTATGAAAAATTTGATGAAATGAAACTTAGGGATAATTATCAAAACATTATCAATGCTTCTTTTCTGTAGTTGAGTATGTAGATAGATTGGGATAGCAAGCTGCATTAAAAAATAAATTCTGTAACTTCTCAAATGTTAAACTTGCCCTTCCAGATTGCACACCTATTTAGTATTACAGATTTTTAAATTGTAATTGATTTAATAATTCCCCATTATTTTTCTTTCCAAGTGCCGTTTACCTAGTGCGTCATAAAGAAACAAGACAGAGATTTGCAATGAAAAAGATTAACAAACAGAATCTCATTCTTCGAAACCAGATTCAGCAGGCATTTGTTGAGCGTGATATCCTGACATTTGCAGAAAATCCATTTGTAGTCAGCATGTATTGTTCCTTTGAAACTAAACGCCATTTATGCATGGTCATGGAGTATGTGGAAGGTACAGTCTTGTTTTACATTGTGTGTCAAGTGCAATGTATTGTAATATTGAGAAACCATAAATGAATATTGAAAATTAGAAATGTCAAATGTTTTCTCTCTTGACTTAAAAGATGAATCTCCTCCATATGTCATAGTATTTGTATAGCAATAACAGGGCTGGAAAAGGGAGACATAGCATCAAGTCTCTCTGCATGATCATGATATTATATAATGTCATTTTGTCTGTCATAATATCTATTAAATTTACCTCGTGGGTTATTGAGAAAAGAAATGAGAGTGGGAAAGCAAGACTCCAATTAAACAGTGCTTGTTGGTATAAAATTACCCCCAAGCCATGAGCAAAAATGCTTTCTTTGCTATAGTATAATCAGCAAATTAGTGTACAATATTTTCAAATTTTAATCTGAACTCCCCCCAAAAAAGAATTTCTATATGTCCACACTGAAGTTTATTTTGTTTTTTGTTTACTAACAAGGTAATTTTGTTTTTAATACTTCCAGCTGTTTGCTAGTAGGAATGTTGTGGTTGATTTCTCTCTGTGGAATAAAATATAGCAATATGCATTATGTTTTAGGTGGAGACTGTGCTACTTTGATGAAAAATATGGGCCCTTTGCCTGTAGATATGGCCAGGATGTATTTTGCTGAGACTGTTTTAGCACTGGAATATCTCCACAACTATGGAATTGTACACAGAGATTTGAAACCTGATAAGTATGTATGTAGCATGTAATTAACAGAAAATACTTACAGAAAAACTAGGAGTGTATAATATGAAGCAAGAAACAAATGTTTATTTTATTCTTGTTAAGTAAATTCAGAATTCACAATGTGATTATTATTAATTATATAAAGAAGGATGATATATGAAGTAAATCATAATTATGATGAATATTAGTACAGATTTTCAAGATATTTATGTTCATAATGTGTTCATTGATTAATATTTTATAATTTCCATTTTTAAATTTTTAATTGAGTACAACCAATGCATTATAAATTTGGTGTTATAATGTTTAATATTTAATTAAATATTCAAAATATTAATTAAAAATCTGATAAGTTTACAAATTGATTAGTTTTTTAAGGAGTCAAATCTTCTCCCATTATCCCGTAAGACTATCTTGTGATTTGATGGATCTCACTAAGCTAGTAGTACTTTGTTTTCAAAATTAAATATACTCCATGAAAAACCACATTTCAAGTGTCATAGTAATTCCAGTATTCTTGTAGATAGGATGTGATTATAATAAATACTTAATATTAACTGGTGATTTGAAAACACTGTTCCGTTACAACAGTAATGAAGTGACTAATAGTTACTTATTGTTATTCTCTTTTCCAGTTTACTGGTAACATCCATGGGACATATAAAGTTAACAGATTTTGGGCTGTCTAAGGTTGGCCTCATGAGTATGACTACCAATCTTTATGAGGGTCATATTGAGAAGGATGCTAGAGAATTTCTGGATAAACAGGTAAGCAATGTTTGTTTTCTTTCCAAAAGTTTAGCAAATTATTTTTAATTTCTATAATAGTATTGCAAATTTCTATATAAGAGTTATCTTTATTTTTGCACTGCAGATTGTTTCAGATTTGGTTTTTCACCATTATGGTCTATTAGTAAGATAAATGGTCTAATTGAAAGCAAGTGAGGTTGTGAAAGAGACAAATTGAACGTTGTTTTTATAAAGAATTCAGAGTCTCAGCAGAGTACTTGTGAAACTCATGATGCATTGTACAATCAAGGATGCTAAAAACCCTAGCTATGGCCCATTTCCCTTTAAGCATGCCTCATTACCATTTACCCACAATCTGTTCACTCTAAGAGTAAAATCTTCAAGTTTTCAATTTAAAATAAGAATAATCCAAACATAATCTGTATAAATATATGTATAATGTATTTTTATTTCAAGTTGGCAAACGGTATCTGTGAAATATTTTTTTTACCTGCAAGTTGTTAGAAATTTTTATTAGAAAAATGTGAAATATTAACATGTTTTCTAAAATTAAAAAAGGAAAAGAAAATTTGAAATTATTTAATATGATAGACATTAAAGTTTACTGTTTTCTTTTTTACCATTTCCTTATTTAGGTTTGTGGTACACCAGAATATATTGCTCCAGAAGTGATTCTGAGGCAAGGTTATGGCAAGCCGGTAGACTGGTGGTCCATGGGAATTATCCTTTATGAGTTTCTTGTTGGGTGTGTGCCATTCTTTGGAGATACACCAGAGGAGCTATTTGGACAAGTTATCAGTGGTAATTATTACAAGACAGAAGTGATTTTCCTTATATCATTACACACTTTCCTTTTGGGATGGCTACCTGTGATGGAAAGTGCAGCTGGAGCAAGAAGTGGGGGAATTGTGGCATTGTGGTTTCAGGGAGGATGCTGCACATTCCAGATAGGGGCCCAAAACAGAAGCCCGCACAGCCTTGAACTGGATGGAGAAGTTGGAAGAAGTTCAGAGCAGCCACACTTTAAAATCTCCCAAAGTATATCTATTAGGTTAGAAGGTTATGCCTTTAGTCTGACAGGATTTTACTAGGCATATGCAAATGAAGAACTGAATTCGATTAGATTTCAACATGTTGTCTTTGGGCTTGGGTGTGACTGTGACACTCCTTGACCAGTTTTAATTCCTCAATCAGGGTTTTATTATTTATGAAAGCCTATACTACTACATTAGTTATCCATAACTAATCTCCTTCTTGCCCATTAGGCAAGAATGATGCCTGCAAATTTAAACTTCGATAGATAGATAAATTTATTGTCATTGTACTCAGAAACCAGAACAACGAAATAAACTTCAGAAAAAAATAGAATAAATTCACTAAGAAATATTATTATATATTATTTCTGGAATGCTTAATTTGTTTTTTATAATTTGAATCACTTCCATGCTTTCCCATTCTGTAAAGGGTTAAAAGTTTTCACTGCCAGAAGAACCTTTTCTTTTGACACACATTCCAGTTCTAAAGTCATCTGAGTAAATGTGTTTGCTTTTCAGTAATTATAATGACAGCAATCACAATTACATTAACAAATGCTAGTAAAGTTGTGACTATGTATTAAATACACATTTAGAACAATTTCTGTCTGCATGTTCTCAGTATAGAGCAATAGCGATTAAAGAACCAGGGAAAGGAAGGGAATGGAAAAGGAAAAATAATTTGCTACACAGCTGCCAGAGAAGAATAAGATCATAAAGAAATTAAAAATTAAGATATCATTAGTCATATACAGAGCAATTACATTATAGAAATGAGTGACTACATATATTTTGAAAAGAGTGGAGAAAGCAATAAAATAAATGTCAGGTGCTTTAAACAGAAAGAAACTATTTAGATTAAATCTTCAAAGTAGCATAATCTAGTCAAACCTTAAATTTATCTATACTTTAAAAAGTTCATTGACTTAATTTGCATAAAATGGAAAATGCCTAATAGCGTAATCCAATAAATTAGAAGGGGTGTAATAAAAACCTATAATAATTGTTTCCCAAATAATAAATAATGGGGAAAAGAAGAATTCAAATGCAGTTCACAGATTGTTAATGATTTCACTGGTGGCTGTTACAGTATAATGTTATTTCTGTAGCAGCTGTCTTCTTTCATTTAAAATTCCATAACCTTTTAGATAGTAACCTGCAGGCTGAATCAAAGTATTATTTTGCAGCTTGTGGAAAAACTAAATGCTAATTGAACCGCATCTATCACAATTCTAGTTGGTGTTCTTTCATGTTTTCCAGATGCATAGAAAGAGATACCTGTTGTTTATGTCAAGCAATCTATGTTTACTCATTTCCCAATATATTTTATAAAATATGCTATTAAGGTCTAATAAAACGAGGTGGTAATGGTAAGGGAACAATTGCAATTGTGTTTTTAAAAAAGCTTTTTAAAAAAATATTCTGGCATATTTCTAATAAAAGTGAAAGAAATATATGGTATGCCTACTGTTAATGAGCTTTTTATACAATATAGTAGCTGTTTATAATACAAGTAATAAATACTGTTTCTGGTATGGTGCAAAGCTATATGAAATGTTTAATTAGTACATGTAACAAATGTTTTAGCTTTGATCCCTTAGGTTATCAACACATATTCATATTTTTCAAATCAAATTTAAATGGCATTTTAAAAACTGAAAACCAGCAAACTTCAAAATAAGCTGTTATTTATTTATGTGCTTGAACTCTTGGGTATATGCATAGTATGTTATATACTACAGTAAACTAGTAACATTAGACAATGCAAGTGTTTCAAACGTTTTTGGGGCTCAAAATCTATAAAGGATTAACAACGGTGAACTGAAAATAAAGCTGGCTTGATTTGTCCATATAGTATGCCTACAACATTAAAAAAAACCTGATATACAAATGGTATTTTTTTTGTCCTAGATGAGATCAACTGGCCTGAAAAGGATGAAGCACCTCCTCCAGATGCCCAAGATTTGATTGCTTTGCTTCTGAGACAAAATCCCTTGGAGAGATTAGGAACAGGTTAGAAAACTGTTATTTTATTTTACTGCATGCTGGAAGTGTTATATCTTTGTCTGCTGTGTGTTTGGTCTTTTTGTTTCTACTTGATAAATACCTGTCTCTGGCTGTAGTTTAAAAATGTATTTCCTAGCACGCTCTCTGTCTCTCCCCCTCTCCCTCTCCCTCCCTCCCTCCCTCCCTCCCTCTTTGCTAATTTAAACAATAACTAAGCTGGTATTGAATCAAACTACACCTTCTAAATTCTTCTCATTTTCTAATTTATTCTTACTATTTATTTGTTTATTAATTTGTATGTTGTCTTCATTATTTTTACAAAAAGCTAAAGCCCACAAACTTATTTAATACTCCTTCCTCCTATTTCCCCCCACAATAGATCAATAAATGCTGGTCCTCAATAGCTAAACAATTTGCCATCATGGTAAAGATTGAAGAGCAGGGGTGTCAAACTTGGGTTGTCACGGTGTAATCAAGTGACATATTTTCCCCTTTGCTAAATGGGGCGTGGTCAGCATGTGATGGATCCAGCCCACGGACCGCGAGTTTGACAGCCCTGATGTAGAGGATTCAGAATTGATTCATGCTTGAGACTTCCAGACAACCTGGAATGGTTTATGTAGATCAGGGGGTCTTCAAATTTAACAGCTTTAAGACTTGTGGA